ATATATATATATATATATATATATGCCGAATGCATCTTATCCGAAGGTTTCAACTCGGGAACCAGAGAAGCTAGAATGCTGAAATTTCAAGAGAGAGCCTCTTATCACGTATGATCTCACAAACTCAAATTCAGCGTCCGCGTGCGCCGTATTAAAGTTTTGGGGTCCAAATTAATAACTTGGGAAGCACAGAAGACACGAGGCTGAAATTTTAGGAGAATGTTCCTTCCGGTATTGATCCCGTGCAGCTAAAATTAGCCTTCGAGTCCACCGAGGTCTCGCGTACAGTCACGTGAAAACTCTGGTGCGAAAATTATTAACTCGGGAACGAGAAAAGCTAAGAAGCTGAAATGTTAAGCTGAAATGAAATGTTAGCTAAGAAGCTGAAATGAAGCTGAAATGTTGTCCTCTGCCGGCGTATGATTCCGCAAACTCAAATTCAGCCACACTTTTCCGCGTATGCCTAGATCTCACGTAGGGACAGGTGAAGTTTTTGGCGTCAAAATTAATAACTTGGGAGCAATAAGCAGTAAAGTTTTGGCTCCAAAATGAAGGTGTGACACGTCAAACAACAATGCAATGTTTCATTAGTGACAAGGAACTGTTTGACAACATTGGGTTGGATATTGAGCGTAGGAGCTTTTGTAGAAAAAGAGTTTGATGGCTACTGTCAAAGCAGTTAAAGAAAAAACAAGTGCAGTTCGAACTAATTCCTATCGTCTGAGCATTTCATGAGCTGCCTGCAATTGCTCTACAAGCTCAGTTGGAAAAGTAGTTTGAAGACAAATGCTGAAACAAATAATACCTCATCAAGAACAAGGTAGCTACTGAGAAACGCCTGCGAAATGGAGACATTACAAGAATTTAGTAAGGGACTGCGCCTAGAAATCAGTATACTGTAAACGAAGGCAATAACGAGTTTCCATACATCTGTAGCCATACTGCAAGTAGAAAGTGTCAAAAAATTGAAAATTATCTCTAACTCGATAAGGAGTTGAATCTACATCACAATCTTTCGTTGAAGATTCCATGACGAAGGGTTGTTGACTGACACAAAATCTATATAACTGTCCCTAGAATGATGGAAAGAAAGCACGCCCCCTTTAAGTACCACAATACTGAATAATAATGAATAGAGAGGCGTAATGTGGCCCCCTAACCAAACCAGAGAAAATAAATGCTGGAGGAAGGGCGATGAAAGGATGCCTGAAGTATCTACGAATGGATGAACAGCGAGCTGGAGAAGCGAGCGACGTACTCAACCCATATTCGTTGATATTCATTACAGCGAGTAAGTAGGATGGATAGGACATATCGCATGCTTTGCTGAAAAATGATAGACGTGCGTATCAAAGTAGCAAGGTACACTCCAGATGAGCAAGCAGCCTACGAAGAGGTGGCAGTTACGTGTAGTACCGGGAGACAGTACTCAGTCGGAAACACTCAGTTAAAAACAGAAGGACCTAGAGCAGCTGTGTCTGGGTTGTAGTTCCATCCTAGTAACTTCAGTAGCACTGCACTAACACAGCAACAACCTGTGATTTTGACAGTGCACCTAAGTCCTAGCCCCTAAAACAAATTCGTGAAGGGAGAAAAGAAAGATACCGGGCGGGAGCATGAATCCGAGTCGCACACTGCTGGAATGCTGTGCAGCATGGAAAGCAGATGCCATTGCAAGTAGTCGTTGCTGATTCTGCTGGTGAATGATGTACTGCTGCCTGAGCATCAGTTCATCCAAATTCCCCGTCGACATCTTCTGCAATCATAAAAATTTGAATACCTGTATGTACGCTCAAATTCAATTCAGCATGCGCCTGGAAAATTGGATTAAACTGAAGAACAAATCGAACGCATAATAAAATGCTACTAGACTAAACACTTTCGCAGCTGCCGTTTCCTTTTCCCATTTCTCACGACCGAAGCAAACAGAAACTTTTGGAAAGAAGAAAAATAAAATTACTTGTGGGCAATTCTGGTCGCCAACTTCTGTCACCAGTTCGTCGGTGTCCTTCAGGCTTGTTTCTTCGATGTCTTCCTTACCGATATGCAATTCACTACAACTCAGTCGTTCTTTCACGGCTTTAAGCTGAAATAAAAGTGAAAATTTGATGATTCGTGCGCGTTTTCCTAAGATCAGGCCCCAATTTCTGCTACGTACTCTATGTCACTTTTTAATAAAGTGCAAACTAAAAATTCCCTGAACTTGAAAAAATCAAACGCCATCCGTTTAGTGCAGCTGAAACAATTAGCTATCATGGAAAAGAGAAATAAGAACAGTCAAGGCTAAAACTCCTTCATAATTCGCTTTTTAAAAGAGGCGCTGAAACATGGAATTAGTAGCAGCGGTAGCACGTATCAAAAGCAGTCACCGCCAGCAGGGCTGTCGATACCTGTTTATTTGGAAAGTTGCTTAGGATCAAGCTGAGAGCTAT